AACGGATAGTTTAATTACCACATCATCAGTAAACTGCAACTTTTTTTTTCTTTTGTCTTTTTGGACCGGATGACGGGGAGGTCATAAAATCCACCGGCTTTCCCTTTTTTTTCCTCCCTTTCCTCTCCCGCACCCTCTTCACCATGGAGGAAGCCTCTTGGTTCTCCTCTCCCGCCAAACCGGCCGACTCCACCACCATGTCAACCAATCTGTTCAAATCAACAAAATCATTATTTTCATCCTCAGCCTTCCCCTTTCGGTCATCCTCAGCCTCCCCCTTTCGGTCATCCTCAGCTTGATGCTCATACACCACCAAACCCCATTTTTCATCCTCTTTTTCCTCCATCTCTTTTTTTCCCTCCTCCTCCTCCTCCTCTTTTTCCTCCATCTCTTTTTTTCCCTCCTCCTCCTCCTCCTCTTTTTCCTCATTTTCTTCCTCCTCGTTCTCCTTCTCTTTTTCCTCACTCTCATTCGGCCCAAAACAGCCATCACCACCCTCATCGGCTTTTTTCTCATCGACTTTTTCCTCATCATCTTTCTCTTTTTCTTTTTCTTCTTTCTTTTCTTTCCACTCGCTCTCCAACAGATCAATTTATTTCTCAGTTCTTCATTCTTTTGAAAAACCATGGCAAATAGACGGGTCTTCAACGTTGTTCCCCCTGTACATGAAAGAAAAAAAATTAAACTAAAGGGAACATAAATTATAGCTACGTGCACCTATGAAAATATATTAATGTTGAAACATAAATTAATGTCGACCAAAATTAAAGAAAACCTGGGTCTCCACAAAAGCACGCTCGACAACCACAAGCGATACCGAATACACCTGCAAAGCAAATCATAATGATTTAAGTACGATATCGATTAACCAAAAAGATAAAAAGAAGATGTAGAAAACACATAATACTATAAAATTATATAAATTACCTTATGCCGCATTACTTTTTTAAAAGCTTGTAAAGACCCTTCAAATGTAGACGGCATCGAGGTACCCTTCCATCTAAATAGACGGGGAATCGTCTCGAGCGTGGACCGTTTGCCCAGAGAAGGCACACGCTCGTACAACCAAGCCTACACACATAGACATGATTTGAAAAGTAAACAAGCTCACCATTTCATATTATTGTATTAAGAAATTCAAAAACACATATACATACCATCATCCCAACAACACATCCATCAAAGTAGGATCGGTCTCTTGATCCACCATGGCGAACAAGCTCGGCAACCAGGAATTTATGAGTAGCATCTCCCCATGCGTACTCAGAAATTCGACCCACATCTTTTACGTAAGGGTAAAGAAACTTGGGAATGGAATAACTCGAACAAGGGAACAAAATGCAACTAAAAACAAACAAACTATACATCCTGATGAAGTCGTCTACACGACCTTCATCAATAGCAAACTTTTCTAACAACTCTACAACATGGTTTCTTTTTAACATTTTATTACCTACTTGACCCCAGCCGTCGAATAAGGCTTTCGACTCTAAATTAAGGTCTAAGTCTACGCTTAGACCGCCCTGTCGAAGCCCCATCGTTACACAAAACTCGGCGGGGTCAAATTAAAAGATTTGAAAAGACACATTATCACCTACCACAAAGGCATTCACATCTGCCTTGTATGTGCTAATTAAGGCCTTCACTCTACTATGTAACACCGCTATATCAGGCATATTTAGAAAAAAAATAAAAATAAAAATAAAACGGACTCTTTTCAAGAGCCTGCTTGTGCCGGTCAGAAAGCACGGCCACTGTCCTGTCCATTATATCTCTAAAGAACGAAGGGGCACATCGACATCTTAATTCTGTGCCCTATCACAAACAAATAAACCAAACATAAATTTCAAACAACAGAAACAAAATAGCACCATTTCAACCAAACAGCACCATTTCAACCAAACCAACAGCACCATTTCAACCAAACCAGCAGCACCATTAAAGAACAAAATAGCAACACAATTAAAGAACAAAATAGAAACACAGTCACTAAACAATTAATACAAAATTAAAAAAAAATTAAAAAAATTCGAAACATGCTTAACTAATTGAGCCCTAATTAATACAAATTAGGAAGATGCTTAACTTATTTAGCCCTAATTAAGCCCTAATTCATATAAACCCTAAACATGCAAAGAGCCCTAATTTATCAATAAAATTCTTAATTGTTGAAATAAAAATCCAATTCAAAGTTCATTAGCATCAACCAAATCCCAAATTCTGAAAATTTTCGAATTCAAAAAAATATGCAAGTTTTTCAAAAAAATCTCCAAATTTCGAATTCAAGAAAAAATTCAAAATTGTTGAAAAGAATCCCCAAAATCTTACCTTGCTTACTGTTATAGACCCTAATTTCGAATTCAAGCCCTAAATTAAAAAAAATAACCCTAATTTTCAAATTGAACCCCTAAATTGAAAAAAACCCTAAAATTATGAACAAAGCCAAAAATCAAAAATTACCTTTGAGCTTGGTGATGCCTTCGTAAGTGTCGAGGAGGACGGTTTGCATGGAGATTTCTTTCTGGAGCCGGCCATTTCTTCACAGAGATGCGAACGGCGAGAGGGCGAGAGACGGAGAGAGAGACGAAGATGGCGATGGTGATGAACGATGAGACCGAGGAGAGAGAGAGGGCAGAATATGGCGAGGACCTATGGCGACTAGCAAAGCAATCGATTTTTTCAGAGAGAGAGAGCAGAGAGAGCAGCTATGGCGAGGAGAGAGGGAGGCGATATGGCGAGGAGAGAGAAATGAACAAACGATTTGTATTTTTCAGAAGTTCTGCAAAATAAATGAATAATAAATACATTACATTATGTATGGGGAGTGAAATGGAAAAAGTATTTTGGGGGTAGGGAGTGCAGAGGGAATAAATTAACCTAGGGACTGAACTGGAAGTTTAAAGAGGCATTAGGGATTTTGATTTGGATAGTTTATAAACAAAAAAAACTAAATTCATTTTAATTAACGAAAAAATTTAAGTTTATAATTATATTTATTATTCACATATATTTTTAAATATATGATAAAATTTACCAAAATAATTATTTTATAGCCAAATTGTATTACATATTTTTAATTTATTAATATTATTTAATGAACATTTTTAATTTATAAATATTAATGAATATCTTCTACCATGTATCACACAGCGGTAGAAACAACAACTTAAATAGTATTGGAGAGTTAACAAAAATAGTTGGCCTTACAAGAAGATTAATAACAAAAATAAGAAGGAAATTATTGAAAGGCTTAATAGGTTTTGCCTCTAACAGTAATTAATGGAGAACAATTTAAAGAGATTGAATATAAAATTGCCCAAATGAAGTATTGGAGAGTAAGAAAATAGTCGGTCTTGGCCAAGAAAAATTATTAAAAAAAAAAAAGAAGAAGAAGAAGAAAATTACCAGGAAGCTAAATAAAATGAAAATTAATTGAGAACGAAAAAGTTTGAAGAGGTTGCAAATAAGATGATTGATTGTCCAAATGAATTTGGAAATGTAAAAAAATATTAGGTCTTAGACAAGAATTTTGCAAATCACCATGCTAAATAAAATTTTGCAAATCAAATTAATTACGAAAGTTCATTAGAAAAATATGAAGAAAACTATTAGAAAGCTAAATAAAATTTTGCAAATCAAATTAATTAAGAACACAATTCAAAGAGATTGCAAATACGATTTTTCAAATGATACAT